ACTTATTAGAAATACATGTTCTCACACTCCACCCAAGACTTACCAAAGCGCAACCGCCTGTGTTGTGACAAGTCCTCTGATGATTTAGCCAGAAGCTGAACTGGGAGAACCATTAAGATCAATGCTACTCAAACTATCGCTGATGAAGAACCAATTTTATCTTGCTTTTTTAAAATTTCTAATCCAGCATAGATGGATACTTTTGTAAAATATCATACTGACAAAATATGCCGGAAAATTAAATAAAAAAGACATATAAAATATAAGTCCAAATTTTGAATTATTAGATCCAACTGACAAAAATTTACTTGGTGTAATCACCAAAAAAGTTCCTATATGCTTACTCTCAATTTCTGTACTCATATCCTGTTAAATCAGTAACAAACTGGCAGAATGGCTCTGGCCTGCAAGCCATACTGAGTAGTACTGGTCTAGATACTTAGAAAGGCCTTTCCCTGTACAAAGAAACTACATAACTTTATCAATTCTAACATGAATCTGTTTTCCTTTTTACAGTTTAACATCTCTGAAATTAGAATGTATCTCAAAATCGTTATCCACCCAGAGGCACTAGGACTTAGCCCTCATGGTCTGTGTATGTGCATCAAAACCTCCAAAATGGGTCTCAGCCACTTGGAAAAACTGCCAGTGACAAAATGGAACACTCTTTTAAGAATGTTGCATCACCAGCTCACTTGATGCACAGTGGACAGTATCTGCTGGAAAATCAGACTTTAGTGACTCAAAGAAGAAGGTAATCCATACCTGTTGGACTGTGAATGTGAGAAAGTTTTATGAGCATCATAACCAATATATTTTTCTTTTAGGTATACATAAGAGCAATATACGATCAAAATCAATGTCTACATAAGTCTAAAAGAGCTTTTTCAAAAACTATAAGATCCTAAATGATTAAAAAGTATTGTGTCAGTTTAAAGGACTGTCTCTTCTCTTACTGGTACATAAAAATGCATCTTATACTTGGCAGAATCTTATAACTGATTAGATACAACATTTCCTTAAGAGATGTATTTGCCATTATATATAGTAAGGCTCACATGCAGTAAGGGGAAACCCAAGTCTTCCTCAAAAAGCAAAACAAAACACTTGAGCTAAAGTATATGTGACAAGCAAGGCAAGGTTGCTCTGACAGTAAATGTTGGTATCTCCAGCATCCAGCTGGGGATGCAGGAAAAAGGTTAGAGTGGTTCCAGGATGGCAGTCACCCTGAATCCACGAAGTAGCAAACAAAAATCTCTTTAAGGAAGCATCCTCAATTCAAGTACCACATATTAAAATCAACCAAATATGTGTATGTGGTGAAAGATCAAAGACCCAGGCAAATCCATAAAGATAAAAAAGACCCAAGGAAACAAGCCACTAGACTGACAGTATGCAGAAACAACAAGAAAATTAGACCACCAAGAGTTCAGATACTTAAATTACTAGATATGAAATATAAAAAAAATGCTCCAAATAAAAAATATATCAAATGCTCCAAATAAAAAAAACCACAATTATAAAATTTAGCAAACAATATGAAACCATGGGAAAAGCTAACCTGGAACTTACAGCAAAGAAAAATAAAATTGACAAGTATAGTATTCAACAGATGGGTTGAACAGCAGGTGAAACATTCATCAAAAGAGAACTAGTAAACCAGAAGATAGAGCTGAAGAAGTTTCCTAGAATGCAGCACAGAGAAATAAATAAATGGAAATGTAAGAGAGAGGATAAGCAATATGAAGTGATACAAAGGTGTAATATATATCCATTTGGATCCCAGAGGGATTTAGAGCAGTGGTTCTTACCTTGGCTACACAGAACTGCCTGTAGAACTATACAACTATTGTTGCCTAGGTCCCACCACAGGAGATTCTGATTTAATTGTTCGAGAGCATGGCCTGGACTTCAGGAATTTTTAGAGCTCCCTGGGTTGTTCTAATGTCGAGCCCAGGTAGAGGAGCACTGATATAAAAAATGGAGATCATAAACTCAGTTTTGTTGATCTTTTTAGATACACCACCAAAAATGCAAGTGACAAAAGAAAAAAATAGATAAATGGAACTTCAGAAAAATTAAAACTTTGTTTTTCAAAGGAAATCATCAATGCAGTTAAAAAAACAACCCACACAATGGGAGAACTCTTTTGCAAATCATATTATTGATAAGGGACTTGTATCCAGAATATATGAAGAACTTTTACAACTCAATAATAATAAACAGCTCAATTAAAAATAGGCAAAGGATCTAAAAAGGCATTTCTTCAAAGATACGCAAATGGTTATAAGCACATGCAAAGGACCTTTAAACAGAGGGAGGTAAAGGTTGAGAAACACAAGATTTTATCAACCCCATGATAATAAAAGTGATAGATTATTTGAAAAACCGAAACAGAAACCTTATATAGATGTCAGGAAAATGCATATCAAAGCCACAGTCATATACTACTTCACACCCACTTAAGATGGCTATAATAAGAAAATCTGATAAGTGTTGATGAGGTTGTGGAGAAATTAGAATCCTCATACATTGCTGGCATCCATGAAAAATGGTGCAGGGCTTTGGAAAACAGTCTGACAGTTTCCCAAAATGCTATACAAAGTTACCTCTTGACCCAGCAATTCAATTACTAAGCATATTTCCAAAAGAAATGAAAACATATGTACACAACAAAAACCTATAGAAGAATGTTCACAGAAGCATTATTCATAATAGACAACAACTGATATTAACTAAAATGTCTATCAACTGATGACAGGATAAATAAAATGTGATGTATCCATATAGTGGAATATTATTTTGTAATAGGAAGGAATGAAGTACTGATACATGCTACAACATGGATGGACCTTGAAAACATTATGTTAAGCTAAAGAAGCCAGTCACAAAAGACCATATATTTTATTGTTCCATTTGTATGAAATGTTCAGCATAGGTAAATCCATAAAGACAAAAAAGTAGATTAATGGTTTCCTAGGGCTGTGGGGGGTAGGAGGGGTTGGGTGGAATGGGGGTGTGACTGCTATGGCTTCAGGGTTTCTTTTTGATATAAGGAAAATCTTCTAAAATTGATTGTGGTGAGGGTTGCACAACCCTATGAACATATTAAAAACCACTGAACTATATACTCCAAATGTATGATTTGGATGGCATGTGAATTATATCTCAATAAAGTGTTAAAAAATGGAAAAGAAGCAATATTTGAGGGGATAACGGCTGAAAATTTTTTAGAACTGATTAAAGACAGAAATCCACAAATAAGAAGCACAGCATATAACAAGTAGGATAATTAATATGAAACCTATTCTAGATACACTATGGTGAAACTGTAGATAACCAAAAACAAAGAAATCCCTGGCAGTCAAAATTCAGAAGGCATTGCCAACACATTCAAAGCAACAGGGCATCTTATCTGCCGGAGAACAGAACTTCAGAAGAAGGGACCACTCAGAAGGGACCACCTTTGGCCTGAAATCTCTACAAAAAAACTCACAAAATACTAGACAGTCACAGAAATTAAAGCAGTATTGTTCTGCCTCTGATTTCCATTTGGTCAGGAATAGAGCTTGCCTGATGGAAAATAAAGAATGCCTCAAGCTTAAAAGCTAAGTGTTAAATGCCATTTGACACAGTAGTTTTAGTTGTCTTAAGTCAGTAATTTGTGGTTAATTTGTTAGAGCAACAATAAGAAACTGATACTAATGCAATTTTGCCTCAAGCAAGTCTGTCAACACCATTTTTCCAAAACCATTTGCTCACTTTGTGTCACTGTCACATTTTGGTAATGCTCGCAATATTTAAAACTTTCTCATTACTATGGTAATCAGTGCCTATGACTCACTGAAAGCTCAGATGATGATTAGCATTGTTTAACAATGAAGTATTTTCAAATTTAAGGTATGTACATTGTTTAAGATAGAAAGCTATTGCATACTGACTAGACTATGGTATAGTGTAAACATAATTTTTATATGTGCTGGGAAGCCAAAATAAAGTGAGTCATTTGCCTCACTGTACTGTGGTAGTCTGAAACCAAACCTGCAGTACCTCTAGATATTACAGTATCTCTAGAGGTATGCCCATATTTGTATATATACATATATAAAGGCTATATGCTAAAAAAGCCTATTGGTATATATTCATATATAAAAGGATAGTCATATATATATATACACACACACACACACAAATATATAAGAAGTCACATATCTGACATGGTAGATTTTTTTTTTTTGGCTGGTAAGTTGGACTTTATTTTTTTTTAATTAATACAGTCTTACATTAGTTTCAAGTATATAGCACAGTGGTTCAACAGGTACCAACCACATTATTAAATCCTTACCCCCACTAGTTCAGCTACTGTCTGTCAACACAGGAAGATATTACAGAATCACTGGCTGTCTTCGTGCTGTGCTACTATCCCTGTGACCAACCTAAATTATGATTGACAATTTTTGTGCCCCTTTATCCCCCTCTCCTTCCCCCTTGGTAACCACCAGTCCTTTCTCAGTGTCTGTGAGTCTATGACATGGTAGACTTTTAATAAAGACAGAAAATCCAACACATTCCTGTGGAATCATATGAAGGTATTTGTTATGCAGTATCACTTGGACTGCACTCAATCTTAGCCAAAAGCCTGAAAAGCAATTACTGTACCATTTGTGATATTGTGGTAAAACACAGATGAATTTAAATATGGCAGAAATTTTCTTAACTGACTTCCTCCTGAAGGAGTTGTGAACTGAAGGTCCCCATTTCAACTAAACATAAACAAGAATGGAAAGCATTTAACTGATGTCTACACCACACTGAACACTCTAGGGCACTAAAACTTGCCTACTTTCTTTTTCAGCAGCTTCTATTTATTGGACAATTGCAGGTTCTTTCCCAGTGAAGATACAGCCTGTTACTTTATTCAGGCATTTGTATATTCTAACCATCTAGGGGAGAAGGGGAAGGGAGGGACAATGAGAGACACCAACCATCAGGGAAAGATGCACTATGAACTTATTTTATTTATTGGTCAAAGAAGAAAAACTTCATAAATAACACGAAAAGTAAAAGTGGGATAGTAAAAAGTTGATGGTCCTTAATCCGGCAGCTACGTGTATCTTCTCATTTCAGTCGTACAGTTGATTGGTTACTGCTTTCATCCACGGGCAGAATACCTGAAAGTAAGAGTAAATAGTTAGGAACAGAGAAGTAAAAACAGAAGGAAACTCAAGACGCTGGCTTTGGAAGGGTAGCCGGCAGGGCTGTGGGGTACCAGGAGGCCAGACCTTCAGTAGAAGCAGACAGTATGGAGGAAGGACCGGCCTTTCCTCCTCTCGAAGTCCTGCAGCAGCAAATCCATGTCATTCTCCATATCGTCTGTGTACAGGAAGCACTGGCACATCTCGCAGATGAGGAATGCCCCCAGGGTGGCGTCTTCTGGGTTGTCCTTGATGTCTATGTTGATCACGTGCACTGGCTGGCAGGTCTCTTGCTCTCTAGAATACATTTCTTCCACAACTCGGTCATATACTTGCTCTTCACAGGTGAAGATCAGGTCAAACTGATCTCTGCATTCCTGGAACCTCTCTGGCTGGGGCTTGATTCTCCTGTTTCTATCCAGCATATGTAAGATGCCATTATATGTATAGAAATCATGATCTTTTTTATGGAGATCATTGTACATCTTCTCATATGTGGTTTTGAAATCATAAATGTTTGGCTTGTTGGGTGATGGTCCAATAAGCTTCACGTGGGTTCCTGTGCCAAAGGAACGGACGTTAAAACCTCGTTTTTTGAGGATGTAGTGTGCCTCCATGCTGCGGTTCTGGTTACTTAAGCACACCACTGCCACCCGCAGCGGGGGTGACTCCATGGTGGCAGCCTCACTGTCGGCAAAATATGAGGTGCTAACCGCCATTTTGGCGGCCTCGCTCTGAGGGAGTGGCTGCAGGGCGGCCCGTAATGACGCAAAAGCTGCGCATGCGTATTTGTGATCCCACAAGTTGGGTTGTCAAAGAACAGTCATGTTCCTTCCCAAATCGATTTATTCCAATAATCAGTTACATCCATAATTTGGTCCCAAATGTTATACTTTCTACATGTACAGTTTGAATTGCATAATTTGACTCAGTATTTCATAAACTGATGAAATATAAACTGGAAAACTTGTTTTCATGAAAACGCTCTGGAAGGATTTAATGCAATTGAATAGCTAATAAAAATTGCTATTAAAGTATGTGTGAGGGAGACGACTCAAAGTTTTGACAAAAATCATAAAATCTGGAAGCATTCTTTACTTAGATTGCTCCACAATTGTCTTTAGTTTCCTAAAAGCCTTTCTCTAAGGACACCGAGAAATGGAAATTAAAGATGATGCTATGCTGGTTAAGAGTGTAAACTTGGGAACAGAACTTCAGAACAAGGGACTACTCAGAAGGTACCACCTTTGGCCTGAAATCTCTACAAAAAGAAAAAAAACCCACAAAATACTAGACAGTCACAGAAATCCAAGCAGTATTGTTCTGCCTCTGATTCACATTTAGATAGGAATACAGCTTGCCTGATGAAAAATAAAGAATGCTTCAAGCTTAAAAGCTAAGTGTTAAATGCCATTTGACACAGTAGTTTTAGTTAGAATCTCTAAGAAGTCATCTGCACCCTGAAGAAAAATTGGGACTTTGACTACAGGGAATACTGATGCGGAGTTAGTTGTATGTTACAGTCAATACTCAACAGTATAAATCTGAAACAGCTATGCTGTACACGGTACCATCTTGCTAATTCAAAGCTCATGCTAAGATGAAGAGAAATATTAAGTCATAGTATCCTGTAGAAAAAGTCAAAGGGTCCATTTTTCCTTCTAATTTCTTAACGATCTCTTTAGTTATCTGTTTATTCACAATGGGAAGGGACATAATAAGGTTTTCATTTCTTAGCTGTAGTAAAAGTACACTTACTGAAAACCAGCTTTAACTCTTCCAATCCTATACACGTGATTCATATTTAACTGAGGAACACTATTTTAATATGCAATTAAAATGACAGCTTTCTACACTAAGTTCTTTCTTCCTTACAAGAAAAGCATAAGTCCTTCAAAACAAACACAATAGAAACTCTAAGGCATGATTCAATGTCTACATCTGTCAACGTTTAATTTATCAAGAGTGCAACCTTTCAACAAGGGAGATAAAGGTTGAGAAACAAGATTTTATCACCTGCATGAATATAAAAGTAACAGATTATTTAAAAAAACAAAACAAAAAACCTTTTTAGATGTCAGTATTGTATGAGTCCAAAATTATAGTTTGCTAAAAGGTATCTGTAATGTTAACAATCAGAGTTCTATGTGTCAGCACAGAAATGCTTAAGTGGATCATTTTGACCTGTCACAAGCTGGGTACATCTCTCATTTTGTAATGTAAAAGTGGTAGAATTTTACCATCTTTTAGCTGTCACAAGGGTGATGGTGAGTGAAAATATGACAAATTCATGGCCAACCAAGTATCCTGTCCATCAAATACTTAATCCTAAGTGGCTCATCTATCAGAACCATAAAAGCTAAAACACATCCTTTTAAAATGTGGGCTGTCCATCTTGAGCCTCAAATAAAGGGGATTAGTTTAATGAAAACTCCCCGTTTCATAAAAACTTTTCATCTGTATTCCTTCCTCTCTTTGGTAAACACGTATTAAGAATCTTCTGTTTTGTCAGAGTGTACCTGATGTTCAGCAGGAGTAAAAAAGGGGGTAGAGATTAAGAGCTCGTTGCTGTCCCGGAGGGGGGAGGGGGGCGGTGGAGGAAAGGCTCCCCTGGAAATGTGTAGGATGAAAGCAAACATGAAATGGGCAGTGAACAATATACCCAAAAGGGCAGCCAAAGATGCCAGGAAAGGGGACTGATTAAGAATAAAGGTTTGTGAGAGAAATAACAAAAGACAGGGAACGAATGTGGTGTCAGAAAGTTTCTGCTAAGGATTGTTCATTTTAAAATTTGCCTTCTCCTTTCAATCCCCACACTTAATCATCCATATGTGTCTCCAATATCATGTTATCAGTCGTTTTACCCTGTTCTATTCAGGAACTTCTCATCTGTACCGGAATGCCTTCCAGACACCCCCTCTCTAAGTTTTCAAGCTACTGTAAGGAATTGGGGGTGAGAGGGAGCAATTAATTCAGTCTGGAATTCCCAGAATTGATTTATAAGCTATGCCTGCTCCCTTGAGCGTTCTCTCAAGGGACAGAAAGATTTGCCATTCAGTCAATGTTTATTGCTATATTTAGCAAGTGAGGAATTTTATTTAATACTAATGGTTCCACCAGCCCAAGCAGCAGGAAGATCACAACTTTGGAGAAGAACTTGAGTTCTAGACTGGATTCAATCCCTTATCAATTAGAAGCCATAAATCCCATAGGTAAATCTTGGTTTCTCTTAGTTCCCAGCTGGGAATGGTTCCTGTCAAAAGTACCTTGCGTGGGCAATAAATATTATCTTTATCCTACTTTTCAACTCTATATCCTTGGGAAAGTTATTTAAGCCTTCTGTAATGTTTTCTGTTTTCTATTCTGAAAATGGAAATAGTAATAATATCTAACTTGAAGAGATATTGTGAGAGTTAGATGGGGCAGCTTAACTAAAAAGCACTAAGGCCTAATGTTCTGTACAGTTATTAGTTACTACTGGTTGCAAGAACTTGGAAGCATTTTGGCATGTTGAAGCATCTTAGAACTATTGCCATGAGGAAATCATTATTCTTGCCCTGCTTTACATAAATAGTTCAACCAGTCCTTACTGTATTCTAATCCTCTACCTTTTTACTTCTAATTATTTAAACCAGGCTTTTTCCTCCTCCTTCCTGGGTGGAAGCTTAATAAATGTAGTTCTGATCTTCATTATTTTACTCAATACCTTATTAAGGAAGCACAACTATTTTAATTAAATCATATGAAGATTTTAATCGACACAGATATATTTATAACATTCAAACTAATAAAATGTTATTAAATCCTAATTTATTATGACTTTTAAGGATATAAGGGATATATCAAACCATGCTTTTGATGAAGAAATATTCGTTGACAAAATACATCTTTAAATGACTATTTCTGTTACTAGATAACATTCCATACATGTTCTCTGAGAATATTTTCTCATCATTGAGCAGGAATGGGATAAATTTGGAGAATAAAACAATATGGAGAAATCGCAGCTAAAAAGCATAGGTAAGGCTCATTAAAAGAGTTTCTATTCATATTCTTGGTATTCACATTTCTCGAAGAAATACAGGTGCATAGTTAAAAAGAGGTCCTTAAAGCAATATTAGGTTCCTGCCCCACCCTGTTCCATCCACATTCTGACTTCTCTGAGGTGTAAACTACACTTTTATCTTTTTTTTTCTAGCTACCTATCTTCACATTTCTAAATGACATTCTTACACAGCTATATCTTGACTTACCCATTTAAGGTGTTATCTATTAGTCTCCTAACATGGACAATTAAGATTTCGCTATCTTATATTGCTCCATATATACATTTCCTTTCTCAGACATGCAAAATAGTTGAATCACATTTTTTACCAAAACAGTATTTATTTGGTTAAATCAATACTCAATGATTACTATTTCCCCCACCACCACCACCCTGGAGTTAATAATTGCCTTTTCCTTTTATAGTGTTTGATTTTGTTTTTGTTCATAACAAATTCATGCCCAAACTCTCCAACACCTGCAAAACTCCTTTAAGTAGAGCCAAACACATCAGGTAAGCCTTCTATTGTTTTTTCCTCTTGGCAACATCCCAGCTGTAGCTCTGCTTCAGTACTCACTGGTTGCCTTCAAAGCCTGATACCCAGCTATCACCCTGGGCTGTCCATTACCATCACTCTGAAGTTTCCTATGATTCCACCTGTACTGGAGCTACAGACTTTGAAATCCCATATTTTCCTATTTCATGGTTCATTTCCCTTTTGCTTTACCAGTTAGAAAGCTGCGGCAATGTGCCAGATGGTGGCTGGTTCATTTGGAAACTCTGGCCCTTAAGTTCTTTTAACACATGTTCTGTGAGGCTAGACTACCTCTGTCTAATGCATTTGAAAGAAAAAAAAGTTTTAATTTTTTCTGAGACCTTGCAAAGATTTCTTTTTCTACGTTCACACTTGATAAATAATTTCACTGCTATGGAATTCTCGCTGACAATTTTCTCTATGAAATTTAGAGGCCTTGCTCCATTGTCCTGTAGCTTCCCAAGTTGCTGTTCAAAGCCCAGGGCTACTCCTTTTATGGGACCAGTTTTATTTCTTCTTGGAAGCCTTTAGAATCTCTTCTTTACTCTTCTTCCATCCAACATGCTGGTGGACCCCTTAAATCTGGTAAATCATGTCTTTCTTTTGTGAAAAATATTGAGTTATTTTCCAAAATTTTTTCCTTTCATTTACTTCATTGTCTTTTATTGGGACTACTAGACAGAGGTTGGACTTTCTCTAATTAGTCTTTTCTCTTTTATCAATTTTATTGTCTTTTGGCTGAACTTTCAGGGACATTTCCCCAGCTGAATATTCTAATTCCTTTACTAAATTATTTTCATTTCTTCTATACTATTTTTAATTTCTAAGAGCTCTTTTTCTGTTCTCTGAATACTGCTTTCAACATCCTGCTTTTATTTCATACCAGTTACCACTTTCCTCTCTGACAATATTAAGTATAGATTTGGACACTTAGGAAGTTTTCTTCTCCTCCCAACACTAACTTAACTCCAAATTTGGTTTTCCTATTTCTTATGATCACTGTCTTTCCCTTCAGATGCTTTCCTCAAATGTCTCTTGACTGACAGTTGCTGTTTAAGAGTCCCAGTGTAAAAGAGTTTCAACCTAAAAAGATCGCTGGGAGCTCTGGGTGTAGAAGAGGGCTAGCCAGTTGGTGGGATTTACTGTAGGGTGACAAGGCAGTGTAACTGCTTTTTTACTGGGAGCAGTTACACCTACAAATATGAGTATTTGTTGAATCTGACCACCACAGACCCTCTTTCAATTGAAAACTTGGTGGACTAGTGTGTCTCCCAAGTGTTCTGGGAGTTGAGGAAGAGGCTGGGTGCGTGCACGGGGTGGGGTTGGAAGAATGTCTTACCATTCAGTATGCAATGCTACTGTTTTCAGTGAAACATCTCATCTCCGCCCTTGATGGTGCCTTGGGCCTCACAGCCCAGAGCTTCTCTAATTCAGTCTGTCATGAAATTGAACTTCAAGGCTTCCACTAAAGACTGCAGAGCCCACATCTGGGAACTGTGGCTGTTCCTACCAGAACCCCTCAGATTCTTCCTATTGAATCTCTGAATCCATCCCCCAGTGTCCATGTGCTTTGCCTCTAACAACTCTTACCTGCAGCCTTCCTCAGAGGCCTACTTTCGGGCTACACGAGGCACTTTGGCAGCACGCCAACAGAGCTGGACATACCTGGAAGATTACACCCCCACAGTCTAGGTACAGTGAATGACTGGTGCAAGACTGTGCCTCTAGTCAGGTCAAACTCCACAGTGTAATTTATACTCCTGAGCTCCCCTACAGGATGAGACAGAAGCTGGGACTTAGCCTACAATTGTACCTTTGGCTTCCTGCTGTTTACTGTTTCTACCATGCGGACACTGGTTCCTC